TCTAAGCAGTGGTGGCCTCTGCTTTGGTGTTGTAGATATCTGGCCATTGCTGGCGCCGGCGCTGTGTCTGGCAGGCTCTCTGCCTCTCTCGGCTTCGCTTTTCCTGCACCGGCTCTGGCCACCTTGCAAGCGGAAGTGGGCATTCAAAGCGGCCAGACTCGGGACAGGCTTCAGACATCCACAATGAGGAAACCAAACCACGACGAACTCCTGTGTGCAGCAAAGAACAACTTGCTTTCCAGCTGTCCGCCGGCCCTCACAATCAGCAAGATGAACATCATATGGAGTCGTCCCTGCTAAGCCCCAAACGCTATTTCCCTTTTAAAAACGATTCAGACTCTCAACAGAAGTGCCACGGGCTCCAGCACACAGGCGCGGGTCTTGCACTGCCTCCCCCTCTTCCTTTGGTGACAGCCAGACTCTCACAGTACCAGATGTGGGACAACACAGCCTCTCCCCCTCATCACTACCCAGAGCTGCGCCCGGGTGGCAAGGCTTGAGCAGTTAGAAGGTTCTCCGTGTGACAGTCGGGTATAGGCGGAATTTGGAACCTCGTGGTTTAATGCCATTCTAGGCTAGTCGGGAGCTCTAAACTCACAGATAATAGGAGAGCACAGCAGGCTGTCTGTGATGAACTAGAGCCAGCCTCCCAGGCTGGAGGGCTGCCCTCCTCACCCTCCTTCACTGCATGTCACCCCCAACCCCCTGGCACGCCACCGGGACCCTTGCACGCCTCCTCCGCTGTCCCTTGTCACATGAGCAATGGAAGACGTGATGTGGGGCTCTGTCACCTGTCACTGGCCTACAGTAGGTGTGTCACAACAGCTTGGGAAGCAAGTGTGGCAGACATCAAAATCTCTTCTGGCTCCTGCGCAACCCGGAGAATGCCGCATCTGAGTCCTCCTGGCTGCAGAGAGGCTTCCTGCTCAGTTCTCTGAGGGCAGGTTGTGGTTTTACCCATTGCTGGTTCTGTAGTGCCTGGCCACCATAAGCGCTGAGCGCTGGGATTGCATGGGCATCACTGCTGCGGCCACCCCAGGGGGTCTTTTGCTGCTTCAGCTCCAGTGCATGCCCCCCCTCCACCCCCCACCCCACCCCGGTGGTGCCATATTGACCTGACCACTCTAGGAGAGAGGAGCATGGATTCTTCTGACAGCTTGCTTCTTTCATGTGGCTAGCTGGCAGTGTGCAAAGCCAATCGGCTCATCCTACAGTCTGTTTTTAATCACCATAGTCTCCACACTGTGTCACTTGATTCTATAGAGTGATTTCTGGATGACGCGGAAGCGGGATGTATGAAGCTGGGTGGGGTTGGTGGGAGTACGATCATCTCCGCGCATCCCACCCCAGCCACACTATCCTTCCTGCTGCTCCCAGACAAGGTAAGTGCTTCCTGCCTCAGGGCCTTTCACCCTTCCCGCTCTTTTAGGAATGCCGTTTCCAAAACCCATCAGGCTCTCTCCCTTTCTTTGTCCAGGCCTCTTAAGAGTTATCTCCTAAAGAACATGCCTAAAGCAGGCTTTGCCTCCTAGGTATCAATCATCGGATAAAGATATCGATTAGCAATACCCTTGCCTGTTGTCTCTTTCCTTTACTAGCATATAATGTTCAGCCTGTGTATTCTGTCGGGCATCTGCAGCACCCTCAAGGGAAGATGGCACCCAGTTGCTGTTTAGTAAACACTACAGACAGTGAGCTTGTATTCTGAATGTCTTAGGTCCCTTTTCATGGTGCCAGAATGAGCTACTGGTGGGGACCCGTCTCAGGTCCCTTCTGCTCTGAGTTTCAGCCTCAAAAACCCCTCCTTGCTGGCTGTCTCCACTGCCCTCAATCCCTAGACTACTCAACTTAGGACTTCACCACGCCCACTCCGCGTGCTCCCAGAATACCTGGTGTCCATAGATGGTTCCCAGGGTCTTTCTGGAAGTCCCTCCCCCAATTCCAGTTCATGATCCAGGCTGGTTGGCTCTATTTCTTCTCCTGAGCCATGACTTTTACCCAAGCTACCTACAATATTCTTCTGGAGTACCGCAGCAGTCCTGTGACTGGCCCTCCGGCTGTTCCCTGTGCGGCCTCCATCTGTTTGGAGCACAGGAAACAGTGTGATCCTTTATAGCACACCTCTGGTGACAGTCCTCCTATGCTAGAATCCCAGGCTCATTTCCCCTTGCTCTCAGTATAAAGATCAAAATCCTTAACATGCCATCTGCAAGGAGAGATAGTCAACCTGGATACACCAATACAGTTGTGCAGGTTTTTCACTATGGAAATGTCCCTCTTCCTCCTAGTGAGCATCAGCCCCTTTAAGCTTTTTACCCTCACCATTCTGTCTCTCCCTCAAATCCATCCCCTCCAATGAACAACTTTGGGGTTAACATCTGGGGCAGCAAGTAGGTGCACGTACAGAATGCACAAACATGCACACACTTGTCAGGCCCTGGGGTATGTTGTCCAGCTGCGTGATGTCAAACCCTTGTTACCGGGAAGAGGCAGCTCTGTCCAACTTTATCTCAGCTGGGTCCCTGACAGTCCACACTCACCCATGCTGGCTGTCCCTCCATTAACCTCAGCTCGGCTCTCAGTCCTCTATCTCTTGCTTAAGGTAAGGGACCATAAGGCATCTCTAAGGCTCCTCTCTACTCCTCTGCTCAGAGTATCCTAGAGGAATATCCCAGACCAGTGCTTCTCAGCCTTCCCAATGCTTCAACCCTTTAATTCAGCTCCTCATGTTGTGGTGACCCCCAACCATGCAATTATTTTATTGCTACCCTATAACTGTAATTTTGCTACTGTTATGAATCATAATGTAAATATCTGTGTTTTTCTGATGGCCTTAGGTGATCCCTGTGAAAAGGTCATTACACACACACACACACACACACACACACACACACACACACACACACACACGGGTTGCAACGCACAGGTTGAGAACCACTGTCCTAGACCTTTCCTTCAGAGCCTTAGCCATGCATGATTCTTCAGTGATCAGCTCTCCCTGCCCACAGGAGTGAAGGAGCAGGATTAGTCTATGTCCCTGTACACAGGAAGACACGGGGTGTGGGGGTGGACCTCAAGACCCAATGATGCTGGAATAAAGGACAAAAGCGGGCATTATGGAGACATTGGTGCACGTGGGGATACATATGCACTTTGGTGTGTGTGTCTTCTTTCCTGTAAGCAGAATGGTGACAAGATCTAATAGATCTGTCCTGGGCATTCATGTCTCTTATGTAAGCCAAGTTCCTCTGCGTACGAGACCTAGAGTAATTATCCTCTTTGGGCAAACACCTGAGTACTTTTTGGGGAGGGCGTGTCCACACAAAGCGAAGCCTCGGTGTTTTGCCACCATCACACGCCCAACATTTCAGAGGTTTCCTAGCACCCAAGCAGAGGACAAAAGCCCGTGTCTAACTGCAAACAGCAAGTGCATGCCACAGACCGTGGGCTTGGCACTGCAGTCAGTTATCTTAGTCCCTGACACCTTTCATTTCCTTGGTGTGGCAGGCGCTGTCTGCTCTGAAAGGGAAGGGGCTGGTGGCAGCCAGGTCTCCAGAATAAAACCTCAGACAGGGTCCCTTCCACACCCGCACACGGGCCTTGCACTGTCAGGGGCTGAGCCCAAGAGACAGGAGGCTGACCTCGCACCAATCATGCCTACCTGCCTTCATCTTCTGACACCTAGAGCAAGACAGATGAAGACGGAAAGCCAGAGATGGCAGCTGCCCCCACAGGAGGGCCTTCAAGGCGAAGTCACTCCTTGATGTCCCCAAACCTTCCACTGCCACAGTCAACCAGGCCCAGCCTCTGTCACACAGCTGCCCCATGTCAGCTCAGAGGTTGCTTTGAGACAGGAGGATTAGTCCTTGGAAGGCCTCCATAGGGTCCTGATTCCACTTGAAGTGGCATGGAAGCTAGGACACAGGGAGCCTCGGGGACCCCTGGGGTTTGGGGCTGCTCACTCAGTCCAGAGGATGCTTCTGGGTTGTGGAATGGAGGATGCCTGGTTTCTCTCTCAGACCCATCAGCCAAGACTTCCTCCTTGTCCCCAGGCCTTATTCCCGCCTCCTTGCTCAAAGCAATGGATTCAGCAATCTCAGCTTCAAGCCAGCCTTTCCTCCCTCCACATGGGGTGTCTGGCTCAGCCCCTGAGTGTTTAGGAGTCTGTGTGTGCGTGGCTGGGGGTCTTTCTGGGTGGGAAGTGAATATGCGGGAGTGACAGAATCCTTTTCCTCACCCAGTCGGCCAACTCAAGTCCAGCTCACACACTGTTACCACCACCACCCCAAGTTCACCGCCACGGGCAGAATCGCAATCATCTCCTAACTTAGCACCTGCCTTACCCTCCTTGCTCTTTGAGCTGTGGATTGAAGCCAGCACAAGGCCATCTCAACCCTAAAGGGGTCTTGGCACTAGGAAAGAGAAGGTTGTATCCTACAATTTCGGCCAGGCCTGGAGGGGCTGGGAGGTGATGATTGGCAGGGCACAGAGGCTGGTGGACACTTGCATTCTGAGGGTGTATTGCTGTTGTTGGGGATCCCAAGCAAGCCTCTTTCACGCCAAACATGAGGACATTGTGCTAAAGGGAAGAGGCCGGTCCCCAAGGACAAACACTATGGATTCCACTACTAGGAGGTCCCCGAAGTGGTCAAGTCCCTAGAGGTTGAAAATAGAGGGTTGGATGCCCAGGGACCCCCAGGACTGCTCATAGGAAACGGGGATTTCCTCCATTGCTCCAGCATCAGTCTAGGGCTCCTCCTACACTCATTTTCAAAGGTTATCTCTAAGGCAAGAGCAGGATCCACAGCAGGAGGCTGCATTGGCCTGACCTGAGGGGACCTAGGCTAGAAGGATGTCAATATAGAGTGAATCTCAGCAGAAGCTCCAGAGACTTCTGAGCCTCTGAGAAGGGTCTGGCGGGATGAGTTCCAAAGCTCTCAGGACACAGCACCAGGCAGGAACCCCTCCCCCAAGAAGATGCGCTGTCTCAGCCCACTGACCTGGTTACAGGTGTTGATATCCACTCCATTGCGCAGGTGATCCAGAGCCTTGTCCAGGTTTCCCGAGCGTGCCGCCCTCAGGAAGCTGGTAGCAGCATCGGCCTGTGGAAGAAGACAACAGGCCATGAGTGTCCCCATGTGGCAAGCATCTTACAGTCCTGTGTGGTCATCTCCTCCTACTGGGAAACCCTGGTCCATACAACATCTCCGTTTGTGGTGTCAGCACCCCAGGTCTGGGTGTGCAGCTGCCTTATGGTTGTAGAATATTATTTGAAGATGTGTTACATTTGTTTATGCTGTGGAACATTTGTTTAATGATGCAAAGATGTGTTGCATTCTTCTATGTTGCATTTGTTTGACTCTGTGAAGCTGTGTTACTGTGCCTGTCTAAAACAGCTGATGGTCTAATAAAGAGCTGAACGGCCAATATCGAGGCAGGAGAAAGGATAGGTGGGGCTGGCAGACAGATAATATATAGAAGGAGAAATCTGGGAGGAACAAGAAGAAAGAGCAAGAGAACAAGGAGAGGAGGATGCCAGGGGCCAGCTACACAACCACACAGGCACAGAGTAAGAGTGAAAGTAAGATTACAGAAGTAAAAAAAGGAAAAAGCCCAGAGGCAAAAGGTAGACGGGCTAATTTAAGTTAACAAAAGCTGCTAGAAATAAGCCAAACTAAGGCCAGGCATTTATAAGAAAGAATAAGCCTCTGTGTCTGACTTATTTGGAAACTGTGCGGTGGGCCCCCAAAGAGCCCAAAGAGTCCAAAGAGTGAAAACAACTAACTAGGCCCTACAGCTCAGGAGTCCCTCCCTTTGGGTACTTTTACTCATGATCATCCTTGCAAAGACTGAGAGCGATCCCAAACCAGTTCCAATGGTGAACACTCAACATGGCTGGGTTTGGCTGCCTCCAAGCTACAGAGGCTTCCTTTTTTTTCCCCTCCACTGTTAGGTATTGAACCCAGGGCCTCACACATGCTAGGTAAGCACTCTGTGACTGAACTACATCCCCAGCACCCCCACACCCACCGTTATTTTTCTTTTTTAATTTTGAGACACAGCCTCATTAAGTTTCCCATGCTGGCCTCAAACCCTCTGCAACCTAGGCCTACCTTGGACCTGTGATCTTCCTGTCTCAGCCTCCCAAGTCACTGGGACTGCAGGCAGGCTGTACCTCCAGGCCTGACTGGTCCCTGTTCTTGCTGGGGATCAGGATATCCTACGGGCGGCCTCCAGCGCCAACAACTTGGCAACATAGGCACAGAAGCCAGCACGGGCCTTGCCTGGTGTTTTTAGAAGTAAACAACATGTGTGGATATTATTCTCCAGTTAAAAACCCCTCCGCGACAGATTAACACTGCAGTCTCTGTTTCACACGAGAAGTCACTGGAGAATGGAGAGCTGAGGTGATGGTGTAAGGTCACAGTTGAGCTAAGGGGTACAGCTGGACTCCCAGGTAGGCAGCGTGGTTCTGAAATCCTAGGCTCTTTTTTTTCCCCCCAAAGATTTGTGTGTGTGTGTGTGTGTGTGTGTGTGTGTGGTGTATGAGTATTTTGTTTGAAAGTATGCCAACAGAATTGGAATGATGGACAATTGTGAGGTGCCATGTGGGTGTCAGGAACCAAACCTGGCTTCTCTGGAAAAGCAGTCAGTGCTCTGAACCTTGGAGACATCTCTCTAGTCCCAAATCCCATGCTTTTTTTTTTTTTTTTTTTTTTTTTGGTTTTTCGAGACAGGGTTTCTCTTTGTAGCTTTGCGCCTTTCCTGGGACTCGCTCTGTAGCCCAGGCTGGCCTCGAACTCACAGAGATCTGCCTGCCTCTGCCTCCTGAGTGCTGGGATTAAAGGCATGCACCACCACCACCTGGCATCCAGGCTCTTAACCACCTAGCTTTCCTGCTGGTTTCCTGTGGCCCTTGCCAAGTAGGTGCCCAGCACAGTTCTTTTCCCCTTCCTTGCCTGCCGCTTGGTCACCTGACACACGTAGAGCAAGACCCTGCTGCCCAGAGCACCAGTTTGTATAAAAATGAATACCAGCCGGAGAGTGAGCGTCCGGGCAGGAGGGGACAGTGCTAATGCAGACAAGATGGAGGAGGGGGAGGGTGGTCACGGAGGACTGGAGGGCAGGCAAGGCTCACTACAGCTGTCCTGGGTCCCCATTTGAAAGACAGTAGGGAGAAAGCTCTTCTGAACCTTGTGGTACTTCCGAGAATTAACAGGTAATGCAGAGGGTAAGCCCAGCACTCAGCACATGAGACATGCGAGAGCGCACTTAACATGTGTGAGCGGCCAGGCGGCAAACTATTTCTCCCGACAACCCCACGGCTGGTGCCCTCCCTTCTGCAGGTAAGTCCATTTCCTTTTTCTGTGGCACACTCTCGGGGAGCACGCGGTAGTGGACTGAACGGTGCCCACAAAGGCACGTCAACGCCCTTATTCCTACAGTCTGTGCTATGTTCTCATTTGCAGAGAGTCTGTGCAGAAGTCACGAAGCTGTGGCTCTGGAGATGAGATCAGCCTAGATTCCTTAGGCCAGCCCTAAATCCAGTACGCAGTGTCCTTAGAAAAGCAGAAGCAGAGGCACACCCAGAGGAGACTAGCAGAGAGGAGGCTGGAGCCATAAGCCAGGTGGCCTTGAAGAGGACAGAGCACAGAAAAGCCTCCCTCGTGCAAGGAGCGTGGTCCTGCTCCGGCTTCACTTAGACTTCCGGTTATCCTGCCTGGTGGGGAACAAACTCCTATTGTTTGACGATACCTAGTTTGGGTGGGCTGGCATCACGGCTGCAGAAAACTAATAGGCATGCTAATGCTCAGCCGCCCTAAACTCAGAAGACGTGCAGTCCATAACCACCAAATCTCAAATACTGCTAAACGGTCCAACGCCGGCCACGCCCCCATCAACAGCAAGCGCAAGCCGTGGTGAGAAGCCAACTTGAGAACTGAAGGCTGTCCCCAAGTCTGTCTTCCTCAGGCCCATGTATATACCTACTCTGTATGTTCAAATCCAAGCCCCGAGGCTGCCCGCTCACAACCTGCACCATGGAGTCAGGAGGCCCGCGTCTCTCCTGACGCCCGCATCTCTCCTGACGCCCGCTTCTCTCCTTTCTGATGCCCTGTGGCATTTTGGTGCCTTATCTCTCTAGGCCTGCACCTGGCTACTTTATGGACCCCAGGGCTCTGTCTCACTCTGGTCTGGGCATCCATCTTGTTTGCCTTCAAGGCTTTCCTGAGTACCTCGGCTGGAGGACGCTGCTCCTGGATGTTAACATTTGCCTCCTTCCTTCCTTCCTTCCTTCCTTCCTTTCCTTTTTTGGTTTTTTGAGACAGGGTTTCTCTGTGTAGTTTTGGAGCCTGTCCTGAATCTCTCTCTGTAGCCCAGGCTGGCCTCGAACTCACAGAGATCCGCCTGGCTCTGCCTTCCGAGTGCTGGGATTAAAGGCGTGCGCTACCACCACCCAGTTTAGCATTTGCCATCTTTACATCTAGAAATGATGGCAAAGGAACTTGATTTTAGATTAAAAGATGTTTCTAAAACACATTTTCTCTAGCTTTTTAATTGTTTGCTTCTTGGGGCAGGTACTAAATCTTTTGAGCCCTTCGAAGCGTTATTCGACTGCAAAGCCAAGGCCTGTCCCCCTTGGCCTGCAGCCGGCTCCCTTGGTAGGACATTGGAGATGGAGGAAACATTTTGAACATCTGAAGTTCAGTTCTCAGCAGACTCGGACCCACAGCGTCTCCCTCAGATGATAGCGCTGACTGCTGACTCAGAAGGGCTTTCTGAATTCAACTAGCTGGAAAACACATTATTTATCTCCCAAGAAGAAGAGCGTTAAAGAGGCATTCTTTCTACCAATGAGCTGTCTTTTCACAGCACAACAATAATGGGATTCGGGAGAAAAACCTGAAAGTGGGAGGGATAAAAATAGAAGCAATCTCAGATCCCATTGCCTGTCCAAAGCCCCGATGATAGGGAAGAGTGTGACAGACAAGCAGGTGAGCAGGAGCCAATCTGCAGCAGAGTGGCTAGAGGGTGTTTGCAGCGTCTTAGAGCACAGCCCGGACAATTACGACAGCAAGTCTTAGGCCAAGTGCCTGGCCAGCACTGGAGAGGCTGGGCATGGAACTGGAGGCCGTGCACATACCAGGCAAGTGTGCTCACACTAGCCACAGCCCGAAAGGTGGGCGTGATCATCATCCCCATTTTAGAGTTGGCTACACCGAGGTCGGAGAGGCGAATGATTCCCCCAATTCTACAGCTCCAGTATTGGTCTAAGAAGACCAATTTGCATGACTAAGGCCTGTGATGCCAAGGTGCCTTCTCAGTGGTGTTTGTTTTATTTTGCTTTTTGTTTTGTTTTGCTTTTTAAACCTGGCCGTCCATCCATTCAGGCAATTTTGCCAGGTCTAGGGCGCATAAAGATGGCAGTTTAATTCAAGTCGGTCCCACAGGTCCCAGCTCTGTCTCTGAGCACTGTGTCAAGGCCAACATAGGCCTAGAAAGGAATCATCTAGTTCCAGGCCTCCTCCTCCTCCTCCTTTTTTTCCTCACAGATGATGAAATGAAGAGCTATGGACATAGAAAGAATGACTGATGCCACCTGGATAGTCAGAGGCAAGGTACAGCTGCTGCGGCTGTGTCCCTTTGTGTCCTTTTAGTTTCCTGAAAGGACAGAGTAGTCAGGACCCAGCGGCATCCTCGAGGTGAGGTGCCCATAATGATGCACTCCCACCGGCTACCATGTGCCACGCCCTCTGACTCTACAATGGATTTACCGAGGTTCTGTTTCAAGTCTGGTATCCCGTCGGGAGTGGGAGGAATAAAAGAGAGGGAGAGAGAAAGAGAAAAACCTTGGGACACAGTGGCTGAGTTATAAAGTGGCCATTGGCATAACAGGGGGGCACGGCTTTGCTCCACACTCATTCATGAGCGCCCCCTAGAGGGCAGATGACGCTCAGGCTGCCGAGCAATGATGGTTTTAGTTGGCGCACAAGACTTGTCTCCACTATCTTATTCTCCCAACCCTCCCCTCCCCCACTGCCCATCTGTCTAGTTCATCTACTCCAGTTTAACTTCCTGTGCCTGATGCACACAGGAA